AATATGAATGTCTGCATAAGGAGGCAGAATATAAGCATAGTAAAAACACATGTGCCCATAAAATGACTTTATAATGTTGACAGTGCAACATGTAACACAAATGAATATTAAAAGTTATTATGGCATATTTGGACATAGGAACTACAGGTAAAATGTGTATCATTTAGACAGGTTTAATCCTTGACATTTCATCTGGCATATTTTGTGAATATATTGAATACTATATACCATTTCAAACACAGGGGGCTAGAGAGAGAGTACAGTGGGTAGGGTGCTTAGCTTGCAGCCAACCCACATTTGATCATTAGTATCCCATATGGTCACCCCAAGTCCTGCCAGGCTTGATTCCCTGATCCCTAAGCATAACCAGATGTGGCTCCAAAATAAATAAGCAGCCACCCCACCACCACCACCTCTAAATAGGGCTCTAGTCAGCAACCTATTATCAAGAACATTTCTGTTTCTTCACTAACATAATCTGCCAAATGAAACAAACAAAAGTAATTATTAATCCTTCTAGTAGTTCAGATCAATCTTGCTATCAAATAAATTTGTACCAAACTTTAAAACAGAAGAACCATTAGGCATTAATCGCGTCTGTAAATTAATTATGAAGATTTTATTAGACTAGTTTGCAAATATTACAAAGATCACTTTTAGGGAAAGAAGGATAGCTCAACAGGATGAAGTGCATGCTTTGCATACAGGAGGCCAGATTGAGTCCCTGGCACATCATGGTCCCCAGAGTACCACTAGGAGTGACTTCAAGAATTGCCAAGTGTGCCCAAAAGTAAAAACACTACTTTTTATACATAGTAATCATTCCAAATATTAGATGTTGTTTAAAACTCAGTACATGCTCAGAAGCTGTATCACTGTATCACTGTATCACCGTCATCCCGTTGTTCGTCGATTTGCTCAGCAGACGCCAGTAACGTCTCTATTCCTCCCAGCCCTGAGATTCTCATCTTTCCCAAACAAAAGTAATTTGTTTACTTTCCAGGAGGCTCTTTCAGGGTCAGGAGAATGAGACCTGTTATTAAGAAGCAATATATAAGTACTTTAATCCAAGCCACGGGATCTTAAAATCCCTTCTTATAGTACAGTATCCTATTTGTCTTCTTATCATTTTAAAAATAGACTATGAGGCTACAGTTCATGAAACACGTAATGTGTGTGAAGATGAAGCCATGCTAAAGGTGAGAAATAAAAGCACTGATAAGACATACCCGTAAGGGCCAAAGACTGTATTATCACAAGACTATTTTTTTTTTTTTGAGGCAGGGTTGATCCCAAGCAGTTCTCAGGAGGTCTAGAGGAGCCTCCCGAGTGATTCATGGCCAGTAGAACCCAAGGTTCTGCTTGGTTCATGGGGGCCAAACCTAACAGTGTCTGTGTATATATATGATATGCTTTTATGAGTACATTATGATAAAGATATTATCATATTATAATATGCTCATAATAACACTCCAAATGGTCTTTTAAAAATAGGAATCAAAAGAGGGTATGGTGCCACCAGCAGGTCAATCTGTACCTGGGAGGCGAGTGCATCAGCAGCCTGATGGCGCCTTCAGACTTCCAGATACCCCCAAATTGCTGCTGTGCCTTTGGCCAGACCCCCAAAAACTTGGGGCAAAGTTTATTAAGAAAGTTAATGGCCAAAAGTTAGGTATGTGGGAGACACACCCACAAACCACATCTGGCTCAGCTATATAATTGGAGGCATGGCCTCTCTGGTTTCTGATCGAACTGCTTAACAGCCATGATCCCAGAGACTCAAACAAATCTCGAAACCCAATGGCTTTTGGCAGAAATGTGTCCAGTCCCTGCAGTAAGTTACCGGCACTGGGCCACCCCAGGTGGGAATAGGTTTCGTGCCTTTGCCCGTTCCCACTGGTCGCCCGGTGGCTGCCATCCTCCAGAGGTCACTATACAGTCAGGTTTGGGCCCACAGTGACGAGACACGTGGGGCCTCATGGGATGGGGGTGGAGCCAACTCTCTCCTCCCCATTCCAATGAGACCCTGAGGCACTGCCCACGAACAGCCTCTCTGGCTCCTGATCAAGCTGCTTAATGGCCATGATCCCAGAGACTCAGAAAAAAATCTCGAAACCCAGCAACCTTTGGCAGAAATGTGTCGCCAGGAATTCCAGGGGGGAAAGGGTGCTGTCCCTCTGCCTGCTCCTCCTAAGCGGCTTGGTAGCCACCATCCTCCAGAGGCCATGGGACAGTCAGGTTTGGGCCCTCAGTGATGAGACACATGGGGCCTCACAGGATGGGGGTAGAGCCGTTCCCTTCCTCCTCATCCCAACAAGACCCTGAGTCACCGCCCATGAAAAGCCTTTCTGGCTCCTGATCAAGCTGTTTAATGGCCATGATCCAAGAGACTCAGGAACAAATCTTGGAACCCAGCAGGTTTTGGCAGAAATCCCTCCAGATTTAATTGTTAAAATTTCAGAATTTCAAAATAGCGCAGCCACTACTGCAGCCATGCAACATATGTTATTCCTAACCAGCAATAGAAAACAAAATGTCTACTGTTGCCTTTTCAGCAGATCTCAGTGTTGGGGTAAAATCCCAAATAATAATGGTGGGTCTGGTGTCAAAATATTGAATGTAATCAAAGTAGAAGAGAGTAATGTGGAAATCATCTGCTCCACAGGTAGGGGGAGGATGTGGGATGGGGGTATACTGGGGTTTTTGGTGGTGGAGAATGGGCACTGGTGAAGGTATGGGTGTTTCATTGTATGACCGAAACTTAAACCCAAAAGCTTTGTAACTGCTATCATGGTGATTCAATAAATAAAATTATAAAAAATGAAAAAAAAATAGGAATCAAAGCATCTCATGGCCTTCCCTAAAATTCTTTGGAGTTTCCCACATATCTTTGAACCATAACCTAAAGGTCTCATTATTGAACACAATATCAGGCAAGAGCTATTCTCAACCTCTCTCCCATGTAGTTCACACCATTGTCCCCTCTGCCCTATTTCCACTAGTCCTCCAACCTCTGAAACAACACTGAAATGCTGCTCAGAGTCTCTGCCTGGATTATTTGTCCCTGCTCCCTTCAGGAAATTCCTTTAACAAGAACTGTGTCACCTCCTCCAAGACTTGCTGACCATTTTATCTAAAAGAAGTTTGTCTGTTACTCCCATAGTGCTATTCCTTTCAATTAGAACATCTTAGAGCTTCTTAAGTTATATTATCTCATTTAGGTTTAGTCTGTGTCTACCGGTTAAGTACTCCTTGAAGACAAAGGATTATATTTATTGGCTCTCCAGAGTCAGGCAAATAGTAAGAATCCAATTATTTGTGGAATAAATTTATAAGTAACCTCTTACCTACCATCTCTTCTCAAACTTTCTATAGTCACTACTTTATAAACGGGAATAGGACAGGACCAGGAAGTCTATTGGTAGGTCACAATAAGTAATGGCTAAATCAGCAGATATTGCCATTAAAAAACATTCCAGGTTGAGTCTTCAGGGGGGCTTGTAGGGTTGGAGGATAACTACATAAGCAATAAGCAATGCTCTAATACCAGTTGAAAGTTTTACAATTCAACTCAGTTTTGACACTCCTTACCCACAGATACTGTAGACCCATAGATGAAAGGTCCATTCCTGTTAAGACTGTCCTCCTCTTGAGATGCCAATTGCAAGTTCAGTTTGCTGCCTGTGCTTTTCACCAATTGGCTAGAATCACTCAGTCTCCTCCATTAGTTAGAGTAATTTGCCCAAATGGCTCACACACCTCAGGGAGCCCATTGACGTCTATATTTTGTAAATTTAATTTGTAGGTATATTGATTTCTAATTAGGATATAATTATATAATGATATCACTCAGGAACACCCAGATGGGAGAACTACAATGCATGGAGATAAAGGACATATAGCTTCCAAGTCCTAAGTGGAGTCACCATACCTAGAGCACCTCCAGGACATTCTCAAGTTTGTCAGTTGGAGGTTTCATTACATAGGCATACTTAGTGAACACATTGGCCATTGGTAACTGATCCAACCTCCATTCCCTCTCCTGTCATTGGAGGAATAGGTGATTCTTCTGGATCTCCAAAAGACACTCCATTAACATAACAAAAGCTGTTGTTCTCTTTCCTTGGAAATTCCCAGGGTTCTTGAAACTACCAGAAATAGAACAAAAAACAAATCTATATTTTATCATATAAGGCACCATGTAATACCCATGAAAACTTGTTTTAATATATAATGTAGTTTAATAACAGTATTTAGAGAATAAACCTAAATTTTGGAGCAATAGCACAGTGGGTAGGGCGTTCGCCTTACAAGCGGCCAACATGGCCAACCCGAGTTCGATTCCTCCGCCCCTCTCGGAGAGCCCGGCAAGCTACCGAGAGTATTCGATATGCCAGACACAGTAACAACAAAGTCTCCAATGGAGACGTTACTGGGCCCGCTCGAGCAAATTTTGAATAAAGTAGATAATTTTCTAGATCAGACAAGACAGCTGAATGCTATCTCACTAATACTTTTTCATTTGTCGTGTGTGTGTGTGTGTGTGTGTGTGTGTGTGTGTGTGTTGGGGGGTGGGGGTTACACCCAGGTGTGCTCAGGGCTTACTTCTGGCTCTGAGCTCAAGGAATCATATATTATGCTGTTGTGCTGTGGATCAAATTTGGGTGGTCTGCACACAAGGCAAGCATCTTACCGATTTGTACTCTCTCCAACCCCCTCAAGTTTTCTTTGGAGATAACAAGCTGATTCCATGATTGTTCAGTATAGGCTATCATTATTTAATTATATTTGATGGAGAGAGGGGGCTGATTCCATGACTTTATCTCACAGGCTCTAACTGATACTTTGGCGGAGGGTGGAGGCGGGAGAGTGTGCAGCTTGCTTGTGTTAAGCATCCGATGCAGTTTCAGAGCTTTTAAAAACATGTCTACCCTGTTGGTGATAGATAACAAAGATATGTTAACAGATATTCGTAAAAGTTATTTTATTTTTCTTTTCAGGACAAAACCAGTATTGGGAAAGATGTGGATATACAAGAATTTAACTTAGAAAAGGTATGTTTTGAAATCAATAATATTTTTGATTACAAAATTTTTTTAAAAAAGAATGTTTATATGTACAATGGTTAGAGAAATTATTAAGCAAATCACACATCTTTCACTTGATTGAATACTGTATATATGAATACTGTATATACTGTGATATATCTTAAGCCACTGTATCAATGTGGCCCAAAACCACTCTTTTAAATCACTGTACAGTGATATATATGTATATATATATACATACATACATATATGTATATACACATATATATGTACACACACATATAAATGTGTGTGTATAAAATCACAAAATGGGGCTGGAGCGATAATACAGAAGGTAGGGCATTTACCTTGCATGCGAATGACCCAGGTTCGATTCCCAGCATCCCATATGGTCCCCTGAGCACCGTCAGGAGTAATTTCTGAATGCAAAGCCAGGAGTAACCCCTGTGCATCACCGGGTGTGGCCCAAAAAGCAACAACAACAAAAGAATGTTGTATAAGAATGTATGTTGTATACACACACACACACACACACACACACACACACACACACACATTCTGTGATTATAAACTAGTTTTCTTATTTGTTTTTTAAGAAAAAATACATCTGTGTTTGAAACACCTACAGTGAATATTTTATCACTGTGACTAGGTATGTTTAGAGAGGCCTTTATGATAGCTTGTTTTAGGGAACATTCTAAAGGACTTCAGAGCTCCGTATTTAATCCTAGTTTAATTGCTGATTTATACAGAGAAGTCTTTGCTTCAGTTGTCCTCATTAAACATCAAATGCCTCCAGAGGACTGCTTAAACCGTACCATAGCAATATAATTTTTGCAATAGCACAGTGGTAGGGCGTTCGCCTTACAAGCGGCCCACATGGCCGACCCGAGTTCAATTCCTCCGCCCCTCTCGGAGAGCCCAGCAAGCTACCGAGAGTATTCAATATGCCAAACACAGTAACAACAAAGTCTCCAATGGAGACGTTACTAGGCCCGCTCGAGCAAATCGACGATCAACGGGAGGGCCTTTACCTTTACCTTTACCTTTACCTTTGTAGTCCCTTCAGGTTGTGATATATAAACTAATTCAATTTGATAGCACCTAGTATCCAGAATGCATTTTTCTGAGGAAGATACTTCTGTGGAATTTTTGGAATATACTAGTTGTGATTCTGCTTTGTATTTGTAGGCTCGTTTGGAAGTACACCGATTTGGGATCACTGGTTATGGAAAAGGAAAGGAAAGAGTTTTGGAGCAGGAACGTGCCATTATGCTGGGTGCTAAGGTGAGTTGCTTCTTAGAGTTCATGGCAAGTAAGACCAGGGGATACTGGGAAATTTTTACAAATCAAAAAATGATGAAGTAAATCCTTTTTCTTTCAGGCTCCCAAAAATAGTTATGTAAATTATAAGGTTTTGCAGGAGCAAATCAGAGAGAAAAAGGCAGCCAAGGAAGAAGAAAAGAGAACGGTAGGTTGCCTTTTTAGAACAATTTACTAAACTGATTTAGAAAGAAGGTAGCAGTTTGCAGCAATCAAATTTGCTACTGGGAAAGCAATCTAGACTATAGAGTTAGAAGATCAAATTCTCTCCAGTTTTTGTCAAATCAGCTATATTTAGTCGTACCAGTCAAGCAGTCTGGCATATTTTTCTTGAAAGTTAGCTTTGAAAATTCTGTTCAAGGCTGGAGAGATAACTCAACAAAGTGAATGCGTGGAGGAGGCCTGGGCCTCATTATCTTGTGGTCCCTTGAGCACCTTTTGGAGCAGCCCGTAAGATCTGAATCAGGAGTAGCTCTTGAGCACTACTGGGTGAGGCTCAGCAAACAAAAGGGGGAAAAAAAGAAAGAAAAAGAAAAGAACGTAGATTAGAGAAGGAAGAAAAGGGAAAAGGAAGAGAGGGACTAAGAGAGAAGGAAGTCCTATTCAGGTCATTTAAGATACTTTGATTTTTATCCTATACCAGTCATACTTTTGCATTTTATGATTTTACAAAACAGTGGTTTTCAACAGAGACTGGCCTACATCCACAAGAACAAAAGCAACCGGTGCTGGTGTGGATGTGGCGAGAAAAGGACCCTCCTTCACTGCTGGTGGGAATGCCGGCTGGTCCAACCCTTTTGGAAAACAGTATGGACAATTCTCAAAAAATTAGAATTTTATCTCCCATTTGACCCAGCAATAGCACTCCTGGGAATATATCCCAGAGAGGCAAAAAAGTATAGTCGAAGTGACATCTGCAATTGTTTGTTCATTGCAGCACTCTTTACAATAGCCAGAATCTGGAAAAAACCTGAGTGCCCGAGAACAGATGACTGGTTAAAGAAACTTTGGTACATTTACACAATGGAGTACTATGTAGCTGTTAGAAAAGATGAAGTTATGAAATTTACATACAAGTGGTACTACATGGAAAGTATCATGTTAAGCGAAATGAGTCAGAAAGAGAGGGATAGACACAGAAAGATTGCATTCATCTGGGGAACATAAAGCAACAAAATGGGAGACTAACACCCAGGAATGGCTGAGATTAGTACCAGGAATTTTGCTTCATGATTTGGAGGCCAGCCACACGTGTTAAGGGAAAGGGAAGCTCAGATAGAGAAGAGAGCACCAAATAAAGGGTGTTGTGAGGATCCTCCCAAGGTGGGAGAAGCATGCTGAAAGTAGACTATAGACCAAACATGATTGCCACTCAATGCCTCTCTTGCAAAACACAGTACCCAAAAGAAGAGAGAGAGAACAAGGGGGAATGCCCTGCCACAGAGGCAGGGTGGGCCGGGAAAGGCGGGGATGGGGGGGGAGGGATGCTGGGACCCGTGGTGGTGGAGGATGGGCGCTGGTGGAGGGATGGGTATTTGATCATTGTATAATTGAAACCCAAGCACAAAAATTTATAAGTCTATAACTGTACCTCATGGTGTTTCACTAATAAAAAAATTAAAAAATAAACTTCATCTATAAAAAAAATTTTTTAAAAGACAGTGGTTTTCAGTCTTTGTATATTCTTACACTAGTGTTAAGCAGCAACAACTTATTTTTTTGTTTTGTTACTGGTATAGACTGGCCATTGAGAATCATATAGAATACAAGGACATTGGGCTGGAGCGATAGCACAGCGGTAGGGCATCTGCCTTGCATGCGGCCAGTCCCGCCAACCCAAGTTCAATTCCTCCGCCCCTCTCAGAGAGCCCAGCAAGCTACCGAGAGTATCTCACCCACACAGCAAAGCCTGGCAAGCTACCCGTGATGTATTTGATATGCCAAACACAGTAACAACAAGTCTCACAGTGGTGACGTTACTGGGCCCGTTTGAGCAAATCGATGAACAGGAGGACAGTGCTATAGTGCTATATGATAACCACAAGGGGAATATGTATATAGTTCCTTCCTTTCACCTAAAATGGCGGAATTGACAGTTCTACTGTCAGTCTTTCATATTTCACATTTTTGAAAGGGTTTTAGAGACATCTTGCTTTTGTTTTGAAGTGTTATGTTTTACTGATACAGCTCTTAAATTCTGTATTCAGACCCAGGACACAGATATTTTCAAGAAAAAGAAGAGGAAAGGGCAGGAAGACAGGTGAGTGATATCATTAGATTCTAGGATAGAAATACCTGATAAGCCTATTGATTAGTTCTACAATTAACACCTGAATTTATGTGGATGTTAGAGTCCTTCAGTATCTCTTGTGTACTCTCATCAAGCCCTTTAAGAGGAAGATACTGTTTAGTAAATTGTCCAAGATCAAGAAACTGCTCCACAATTAGAAATCTCCAGTCTCCCATTTTCAAAGACCATGCATTTCAAGTCATAAGTAGAAGGATGAGATAGATATTTCCAACAAAAAAATTATGATTTCTGCTACCAGAACCTGTTAATACCCATAGCACTATCTGGGTCGGAATCACAGACTTACATAGTATTGATAAATGACTTAAGGTTAGAGCACTGTGATTTGAGTAAGAGAACACTGATTTTGTTGTTTTTATAACTGCTTCTTAGCTTTTGTTCAAGTACCTTTTTCAAAAGGTTAGTGTTTGAAAAATGTATTCCTTCTGTCACGTGGTTATTTTTTTTGGCAGGTCATTTTTGTTGTCATAGGTGTCTGAAGTGTTGATAACATATCCAGAACAGTGAGGGTGTCCTGCCCTCAAGGAGTGAGGGAAATACAGTAACAAGCAGTCAGATAAGCAAGGGGATAGTAGGTACCTGGCAAGCTTCATGAAGGATAGAATTATTGTGAGAGAATATGGTGGAGAAGGTATTGTGGTGGGCTATGATATCATTTCAAGAGGGTAACATCTGAATTGAGAACTGAAAACAGAAGAAGAAGGTACAATAAGAAATATCTGGTAGCAGAAAAAAGGCCATTGCAAAGGCCCTGGGCAGGAAGGCAGACGGCATGATTCTGGACCCACAGGAAGGCTAGTGGTGGGCAGTGGGGAGGGAATGGGTGTCTGGGATTGGCCTGGAGTCTGGTTCAGTCTGTAAGCCCTTCTTTACAGCATTGACTGAAATCTCTTTATCTTCTTTAAATATAGGAAATCCAAAAAGAAGAAATCAGCTCCTAGTATTTTGTCAAGTATTGGACAGGTTGGAAAATTCAAAAATGGAACATTGATTCTAAGTCAAGTTGACATCAAGAAAATTAATTCTTCTAGAGTGGCAAAATAAAGTACTTTATACAATGAAGAGTAGAATGGGAAGACTGTATAAAAACTTAGACCCTCTGCAAGGTTCCACAATTCTTCTTTTATATTTCATAAACTCGTCTCCATTTTAGAAAAAAAATGTCAAATGGAAGAAAACTTTCTGGTTACTAAAATGTTTTGTGGTAACTATGTTGAGTCAGCTTCAGTGTGAATAGAAAGGAACCTGTTAAAAAGAATGTTTAATTAACTGCTCCAAGGCTCACTCAAGTTTCACTTTCATTGGTGTTTGCTTGTAATAAGATTTCCATCATTATGTTAATAACTTTAAATTGTCTGTTTATTGCCTTAAAAATAATCTAATAATACAGTATCAAGAAAGAACTAAGGATATAATAATTTTTCAGTTTCATATTATAAGTAGTTTAATTTTCTAGACTACCAGTTGTATGGGCTGGAGCGATAGCACAGCGGGTAGGGCATTTGCCTTGCACGCAGCCAACATGGCCGACCCGAGTTCGATTTCTCCGCCCCTCTCAGAGAGCCCTGCAAGCTACCGAGAGCATCTCGCACCCATGGCAGAGCCTGGCAAGCTACCCATGACATATTAGATATGCCAAACACAGTAACAACAAGTCTCAAAATGGAGACGTTACTGGGCCCGCTTGAGCAAATCGATGAACAACGGGAGGACTGTGACTGTGACTGACCAGTTGTATAAAATCTATTTTGTAAGAAGTTTTGTAAATGAAATACAACTTTCTATTATGTATGATTGACAAAAAACCACAACAGCATTTTTTATTTATTTTTAAAAAATTGAATGGGAAATGCCAGGTACACCTGTCTTCAGGCCAAGAACTCTGGGGTCTTCCCAGAATGGCAGCCTCATCCCGCCCCACTTCTAGAGCCTCTGCAGCCACACCCATATCTCACAACCATGCTCCATTTAAGCTCACTCATCCACCCTGCTATACAGACTCACAATTAAATCTTGAAAGAGATCATCTAGCTGCAAAAATTCACAGGTACAAAAATGGAATCAATGTTCCATTTTTGAATTTTCCAACCTGACCCATCTCCCAACTGAAAACTCCGGGGTGCCTTGAAAGGGGGTAGACCGACTCCTTGCTCTGCCAAAGCCCAGGCAGCCACACTCATACCCCACAGCTGCCTCATGACCATAACTGGACTCCACTGCCTCTCATCTGATCTTCACAGAGATGTCAAACTGCCAGAAATTCCAGGAATACTGGGCTTCAGACTGAAATCTGGAGTCTTATTGGAGTGGGAGTGGACAGCCTTCTCCATTCCCCATACTTACTGAAGCCCCAGCAGCCATGCCCACTTCCCACAGTTTCTACTGTGTAAACTCATGGCCCAGTTAAAATCGTGGAGTTTCTGTATTAGTGCGGTCACTTTTGCAGCTGTGCAACACCTCCAAATTCTACAACACTAACATCCCAGTAGGAATACACCAGATTAGATGGGAAAGTAACGTGGAAGTCATCTAAGCTCAAGAAAGAAAAACATTAACACAAAGGCTCAACTAGCAACAACAGCTAAGTAAACCCTCAAGGGTTTAATGAACACATGGTGAGATAAAATAATTTTCAAAAATTTTCTTCTACTGAAGTATTTTTTAATAATTGCATTAGCCATTTAGTTGTAACAAGCAAAATTATTTTGTGCCTGCTAAGGAGGTGGGCTTGGAGGATGATTGGGAAAATGGGGACAATGGTGGAGAGGAGGTCACATAGGTGGTAGGACTGGTGCTGGAATATTGAATGCCTGTAAAAAAAAATGTATCATGAATAACTTCATAAACTACGGTGTTCAAATAAAGGGGAAAAAATCTTTTTAAAAAATGAATAGGACATGGGGCTCTTACCAACTGGGTCACTGATTCAACACACAAGTCTTGTCATGCCAGGAATTACCTGATTCATCCCCAAGATACTCAGGGCCTCCAGGTCTACCCCTGGTGATGCCTGGGGGACTATGTGATTAATGTGTCTGGACTTCTCAATGCTTATAGCACAGTTTAAATTTAAAAAAAAAAAAGTAATGATGTTTGTCAACTGTTTTTTTTTCCCCACTCCCAAAAATTCAACCCAGACTTGGTAGATAAGTTTTGATTCCCAGTATAAAAATGACTTTATATGACTCCAGAAGACTCCCAAATGAGAATATCAAAAATGTTCTGAAGTCATGCAAAATTGGAATTTTATTAGGGTGTGTATGTGTGTGTGTGTGTGTGTGTGTGTGTGTGTCTGTGTGTGTGTAGAGAGAGAGTGAGAAGAGGAGGGGAGAGAGGCAGATTTTACAAGTAATTTTTTTAAAGAATGATATAGGAGACTCTAAACATCACAAATCTCTAGGAAAATTCAGGGGCTTGAAGTAACACTTTAGGATGTATAGTGGATCATTTTTTGTCGCTCATGTTTTGTTTGGGGGCCACACCCAGCAATGCTCAGGGGTTACTCCTGACTTCACTCAAATCACTCCTGCAGGGCTCCAGCAGCTATAAAGGATGCTGGGGATCGAACCTGGGTTGGCCTCGTGCAAGGCAAGCACTCCACCCACAGTACTCTCTCTCTGGCCCTGAGTACTGAATCATTTAGCAGCCATTGGCAACAGATTGCTGAGAGACTCAGGAGACCCCAAAGTGCCCCTACTTCCAGGAACCAAATTGTGCATTAGGGGATTAGTAGACTAATCTATTCTAGAAAAGCATGCAAATTGCAAACATAAATTAACTTGCGATTATTTGTTTTAATTTAATGAGTTCCCAAATAAAAATCTTTCTTTACATTTTGACACCATAATTTATGAATGTGTCCATGATAATTTTAGAGTTTCAGTCATATAAGGGCTGGAGCACAGGGGGTAGGGTGTTTGCCTTGCATGCGTCCAGTTGGCCAACCTGAGTTCGATTCCTACGCCCCTCTCGAAGAGCCTGGCAAGCTACTGAGAGTATCTTGCCCGCAGGGCAAAGCCTGGCAAACTACCCATGACGTATTAAATATGCCAAACACAGTAACAAGTCTCACGATGTAACTAGGCCCTCTCAAGCAAATCGATGAACAACGGGAGGACAGTGCTACAGTGCTACAGTCATACAAAAATTCTAGTAGTCCCATCACCACTGTCAGCTTCCCTCCACCAATATCCCCGGTTCCCTCCTAACCCCCAGTCTGCTTCCTTAACAGACACATTTTTAGAGGTTAATTACTGGGATTTGATTTGCATGCTTACGGTATTGATTTCTCTGTGGTTTAGATTTATACATATACCACACCTCTACTCCACTGATGTTTCCAATAACCCTGATCCTTGTCCCTGTTACCTCCCAACCACCTCTTTTTACTTCCCCCATCCATTTTTTTTTTCCCTTCCCTGGTCTTTCCATGTCTGTAGTCTAGTACCAAGAGCGTGTCCACTTTTCTCTTGTTTAGTTCTTCTGTATGTATAGATATGTGACCTTATCCAATATTTGACCTTTTGGAGGAGTGAGGGGAGGCACACCTGACTGCTCAATGTTTAACCCTCATTATGCCCTCAGAGATCATGGGCTTGAGGGGCCTTATGAGGTGCTTGGGATTGAATCCAGATTTACCATGTGTGTACTATTGCTCTAGCCTGGACCTTCTAATTTAACATAAAATTCTGAGTTCCATACAAGTTGCAGCAAACCGCATGATTTCATCCTTTGAAGCTGCATGGTGTTCCATTCTGTATATATACTACACCTTCGTTATCCACTCAGCTGCTCTTGGACACCTGGGTTTATTCCATACAGCTGTTATGTTAAATGTTTCAGTGAACTGTGGTGTGCATATATGTTCTTTTGAATGACTGTTTTTGTGTCTTGGGAGTAGATAACCAAAAAGTATAGTGGCCATCTTGCATGGAATTTACTGAGTACTTAAAAGCAGTTTTATGTCCACCGGGTGTTGTGGAAATAGCAGTTTAGGGGCCTAAATAAAGTAGCCTATTCCTTAAGAACGAAAGAGTGAACTTAAAATTATACTTTTAATTTCTTTGTTGATAAAATTACTTCTACCATGGTTAACAGCAAAAAGGAGTAATTACAAAAGAATCATCCAAAGGAATCTGACGTTATAGCAGTATCCACAAGGAAGAGACCTGAGTCTTGGTGTGGTAAGTAGTTTACATACCGGTATTCCATATTGCCATTTTTTTCTGAAGTGTTTTTCCCCGGTTGTATGGATGGGTTTCCATACAACATTATTGACTACTGTTACTTCCAGTGACACTTCATGAACTATGGTTCTCAACCCCACGACTCTTGACCCTGTGAACCCAAGGGAAACAGAAGAGAACACAACATGTAACCACTTGAACCCAGGATATTATCTGGGAAGAACCACCCACCATCTTTCAGGGGTGATTAAACCTGACCTTCAAGAGGAGGTAAGGCAGCTATCACCCGGAAAGTAGGTGTTGGGGTCTCAGTAGCCCTGAGACTTTGACCAAATCCCCTGCCCCTAAAAGAAAGAGCTGACCCTGTTTACAGGGGCCCAGGGACTTGCTCCAGCACTTCACACACTAGACACTGGTTGAGGCTGAGGGATGTAACAGTTACCATCTGCCTGAGCTAATACACCTGGCCCTGAGAGTGGGAGATGTAAATCATTGACATCTGCACTGAGCCTGACAAGGTAAATGTGATACACGTGGATTGCCCCCTGAAAAGTATGTATAAAAACCCCTGTGTGAGAGCTAATAAATGAATCGCTGATTGACTACCAGCTTTTCCCACTCCGCGTGGTTCTTTCGCGGTGGCGGCAGGAGTCCACGGGTGCGTGGAGGGCCAGGTCAGAGGCTTCTCCCATTCTCACTCCATCTCCTTACTCTATAGGGAGTAAGTCCGGCGTCCAGGGGGACCGTACTCCAGTGTGCTAGGGCCGACTGGCCAGAACCCCGACAATAGGGAGGAATCTGTTTGAACCCTTATTTGCCTGTCTGGCAAATCTCTCATTGCCCCATTTTGTTGGTTTGTTTTTTGATCACATCAAATGATGCTCTGGGCTTACTCCTGACTCTGGGCTCAGGGGACCACATGGGGTGACAAGGACTGAGCCTGGATTGGTTGCCTGCAAGGGAAGTGCCCTACCCTCTGTACTAATGTCCAGCACCGTGTTTGCCCAGTTTTGATAATAAACATTGTGTTACCGGGCTGGAGCAATAGCACAGTGGGTAAGGCATTTGCCTTGCACGTAGCTGACCCGGGTTTGATTCCTCCGCCCCTCTCGGAGAGCCCAGCAAGCTACCGAGAGTCTCGCCTGCACGGCCAAGCCAGGCAAGCTCCCCCTAAGGTATTCAATATGCCAAAAACAATAACAAGAAGTCTCACAAATTGTTGTAAGACGTTACTGGTGCCTGCTCGAGCAAATCGATGAACAACAGGAGGACAGTGCTACAGTGCTATTGTGTTACCCCTGGACCGAGAAAGTTTTAGTGACCTGAGATTCAGACTCCACAGAAATGAGAGTCTGGATCACAATCAACAGAGGACCTAAGTGAGTACACTGCAGTGCATAGGAATGGAGATAGTAATATCCAATGATAAGAGATATTGAGAATTGTAGTTACAGACAAGAAATGCATAACCCACTAACCTTCCCTATCTAAGTGTCTGTTACCTAGGAGAGCGTTTTCCCAACCTGACATACCTCTCAGATCCCCTTTCAGGAATAGGGTCTTCCATACAGTTGTTAGTTCTCTTCTTCGTCCTCTTTCAGCTGAGCAATTCTTTCTACTATCAAAAAATGATTAGCTTGAGATCATTAAAATGAAATTCTCTTGTCCCAACTTGGGGGACAGCTCCCCAGTAGAGATGGTCATGGCCTTTTCTGGTGTTACCACTCACTCAGCTTGTCATGCTGCTTCCCTTTTTATCCACAGAAAAAAAGAAAAAGTAATTTATACTTGGGATTTTGATGTTTTTCCAGAATTAATGAACCTGGGGTTCTAGTCCCCTAATTCTCATTTGTCTGGCTCCTGGAAGCAGGGCTGAGGTGAGGTCTCCATCTTCCAGAGCCAGTACCCATTCTAATGAGTTACTTTTTAAAGAAAAATTGTAAAAAAAATGTTGAGTGTTTTTCAGTTAAACACCCTGTGGTGCTCAGAGGTTACTCTTGGCTCTGTGTTCAGAAATTCGGTGTTCTGAAACCATATGGGTTGCAGGGGATTGAACCCTCATAAATTGTGTACAGGGCCAATGCATTACCCACTTTACTACCTCTCTAACCTCTAATTGGTTACAATTTTCCTAGTGCTTTGTCATGTTTAGTGTCTTGTATATATTTAAGATGCACCTATTTTTAATTGCTTTTAAAATCTGCCAAAATAGATTTTTTAATAAATCCTGACTTGCAGAAGAAACATGGGAAATTAATTTTTCTGGAATTCAGAATACTTTTTATTTTTATTTTTTATGTAGAAGTACTGCTATTTATTCAGCCACTGATTAGGCTGATTGAATTGTGCATGAACTCTGCTCAGAATACTTTTTGAAATCTTCATTTGGCCATGACTTTTACTAAAAAGTCAGCAAGAATCTGGAATAGAGAAGGGATCACTAAGAAAATGATGGTTGAAGAGATTGGTTTGGATGGGAGATGTGTGCTGAAAGTAGATAAAGGACCAAATGATAACTTCTCAGTATCTGTATTGGAAACCATAATGCCCCAAAGTAGGGAGAGAGTATGGGGGAAATTGTCTGCCATGGAGGCAGGGGGAGGGTGGGAAAAGGGGGGTATACTGGGGAGATTAGTGGTGGGGAATGTGCATTTGATCACTGTATGAATATAACTTAAACATGAAAGCTTGTAACTATTTCACAGTGATTCAATAAAATTTAAAAAATTAAAATTAAAAATAGTCAGCCAGAGTCTCATATTGAGGGCACCTGGAGTGGGGTGGGTGAGCTTATCACCTGCCCAAACAGAGCCCCGCCTGGCAGTCAAAGACTTCCAATCGCTGCCATGCTCACGGCCAGATTTCACAGGCTCCAACAAGCCTCATCCAGGAATAATCATTGTATCACTGCCCTCCTGTAGTTCATCGATTTGCTCAAGCGGGCCCAGTAATGTCTCCAATCATGAGACTTGTTACTGTGTTTTGGCATATCGAATACACCATGGGTAGCTTGGCGGGCTTTGCTGTGCGGGAGAGATACTCTTGGTAGCTTGCCAGGCTCTCTGAGAGGGGTGGAGGAATCGAACTTGGGTCGGCCATATTGGCTGCATGCAAGGCAAACGCCCTACCCGCTGTGCTATCGCTCCAACCCTCCATCCAGGAATAAATTTGTTGAAAGACTCAGGTATGCGGGTTTTGTGATGGAAATCTCCAGGCTTTCACTGAGTTGGGCATGGGCGATCTTCTACCATCTCTCTGTTCTTCTGGGAGCCTGGTAGTCATGCCCATATAAACTCGTCAACTGGCCACGATCCAGAGACTCATAAATAAATCTCGAAAGAGATCAGCAAGCTGCTGTGATGCTTCTGCACCCCAAAATCACCATCCAGGTAAAAATTTAACTCCAGCTGTATCACCCCATCAAAATTTTAGAATTCCTGGAATGCACAGCTGCAAATGTAACATCTCATACTCTACTACACTGATAAACCAGGATTAGCACACCACATTAAGTGGGATGTAAAGTAAAAGGCGACCAATCTCTATTAAGAAAATATTAACACACAAGATTTAACCTTTAATAACATGTTAGTAATCTCTTATTCAAGGGCTTAATTGCTGTAGGATGAGATACAACAATTTTTTCACACACTTTCTTCTAAGGAAATCTTTTGTGATCATTTTTAGCAAATTATAACAAGCAATACAAAATAAATCATTTACGGCCTGCTGTTGGGCAGCCTTGGGTGGTGGTTGGGAAAATTGGAAATAATAATGGTGGAAAGGTGTAATCGTGGTAGGATTGGTGTCAGAATATTGAATGCAATAAATCAATGTGAACAACTTTTTTTAAAAAAAAGAATCAGCCAAAACTAAGGATATGGATCAAAAGGATGGAGCACATGCCTGTCACCGTCAGGGCCCTGAGTTCAGTTCCCAGCACCTCCCACTGCTGGGCTGAGTATTAGTGAGAGTGAGGCCATCTCATACCCCTTTGTTGGCTAAAACTTGAGTTTTGAATTCAAATTTGGGGGCAATGAACAAAAAATTCAGAGCTGACCACCATTATAAAAGATTTTTTGGGTCACGGTCAATACCCACTGAAACTTGGCCAAACAGCTGCATGACTCAGTTCTGGGACTTGTGGATGCAGCAGGACCACCAATGGCTACACCAGACAGTATCAAGGTGGAATGAGTGCTTCCAGGACAGCTCCTAGAAGTGCTGGGGAAAGGCACTAGGGCCACATCTACTAATGCTGAAAGTCGTGGGGCGGGGGGGGGGGGGGGGGTTGGGGAGGAAGGCACTCCAGGGCTACACCAGTGGGGGGCTACGGGGATTAATTGGGGGGTGTGGGACAGTTTTTATGGCTAGAATTTAGGTCTTAGGCCTAAGTTCTTGGTCTTGATCTTGATCCCTAGTACTGTGTGTGTGTGTGTGTGTGTGTGTGTGTGTGTGTGTGTGTGTGTGTGTGTACTTGAGCAGAATAAGCCCTAAGTACAGCCTGGTATGGCGTGCTCAAGGAATGATATGGGATGCTAGAGATCAAATGAGCGTTGACCATATGCAAGGCAAATACCCTATCTGCTGCACTATATCTCTAGTTAGGTAGCACTCCAGCCCCTGCATTATTCTTTTTGCAAAAATGTAAAACAGACTTTGAGAAGTTCCAGGTACTTTTGGGAAGGACAATATTATTTAAATATTTATTGGAAGCTGCTCAAGGTAATAACTTTGAAAGGGATAAGTTTCCTTCCTTCTAATCTCAGTCTAACTACCCCCATACCTAGCTGTTCAGTAATCTGCCATAACTGAAGGGTGAGGTGAACTCTCAAGATGGTCAGTAGAGAATGAAATAACTGCTTCTAAGGATCTTTCTTTTTCTTTTTCTTTGTCTTATTCTTTTTTCCTTCCTTCCCCCCCCTTTCTTTTTTGTAATGACTTTTAATAATCATATACCACAAAAAGCAACATAGCAGCAAAAGCCATTTCAAGGGAAAACTTTACTTTTGCATGGTTTCTGGCATGCAAAATACTGATAAAAAGAACACAATATTTAGCCATGCTTGCTCCTAAGGATCTCTATTTGACAAAAGCAATAAGGAACAGATTTGTCAGACACACCCAAGTTCCATTGCCACATATCACTTTTATTTTTTTAGTTTTTGGGTCACACCGGATGATGCTCAGGGGTTTCTTCTCACTCTGCATACAGGAATTATTCCTGGCAGTGCTTGGGGTGCCATATGGGTTGCCGGGGTTGAATTTGGGTTGGGTGAGTGCAAATGCAAGCACCTTACCATCTGTACTATCTCCAGTGCCCTATTGCCACGTGTAATTTGTAATCAGCTGTTAATGAATTATCTTAATCATGTGTTAAATGTTATTAGATTTTATGCTTATTACTTCTTGCAGAAATGAACTCTATAAGCTCAGTACTGTTTGGGTTTGGTAGTTTATCGTTTAAAATCATACGCAATATCTTCAAGATTTCTGGGGCACATGCAGCAAAGTCACACTGACCCTGACTCCGGATAGCCCACAGGCAGCACCTCCCTCTCCATCTGCCTGTTCAGCTGGTGATCATGTCCAGTTTGGAGAAAGGCAGATTTCGCTGCTGAGCAGAAATTACAGGCCATACTTTGTCTTCGGTTGTTGGCAGTGTCAAAAGAATTTATTTCAAATCTGCTTAAGATGGTGGTAAAACTCAGATTTTCCAAAGGGCAATACACAAAATTTTGTCAACCCCCAAAGACCAGGAAACATAGTGTTTGCAATTTAAAAAATACAAACGCTTGTGAATACCAATACAAAAATTATTAAAAAGTTGCTTTCCTTCCCCTTCTTCCTCCCTCCATATTTCCAGTGGAACAAGAACACCAATTGGATCAAGAGCTGCCACCATATAACAACAACTAGTGACAGTGGGTATGGTGGGAGGGGTGAGGGAAGGGAGAAAATAGGTAAAGAAAGGCAGGAAAATGAAGGTCTGTCACAGCCAAAACAATGACACAAAGCTTTTTGTTACTTTTAAAATTCCTTTGCCAACATCAAACAGACTTCATGCTTAATACAACAGTTTAGTGTGAAATTCGCAATTCTACATCATGCATTTAACTTTTTCTGCTTTGCTCACTCTCCACTTCCTCTTGGGGTCGGGAAGTCTGGGGCTTGAGATGTGCAGTCAGCAGGTGTGAGAAGACATGGGAAGGCCCTCCCCAGGCAGGAGAGCTTCCCTACAGCCCCAAAGAACCCCGTATTTTGCTTGCATGGCCACAAGCAGTCACGTTTCCAAACTTGAATCTTTTGTGAGGGGCAGACCCAGAAAGCAGTGTCCTTGCCTGCCCCCAAAAGACTAGACTGGGCAGTTTATACCCCTCAAATACCTGTGTCCTTTAAGGGAATAGCAGTGTCTCCAGATGAGACTTTCTTATTAGTTTTCACACCCAACTCCTAACTGAAGTCACTGTCAATCCTCAGAAAAGGCAGGAGTTTCCTCTTGATGGAATCTCTGCCAGCAATGTGATGACCACCGGTCCCTTTGCCCTTTTGTCCACCCACCCAGCCTTCTAAAAGGCCATTTAGTTGTTTCTCCAAAGGAGACACTATGGATTAGTAGGGCCCTTTAGATACCAAAACTGAAAATAAGGAGGCAAAAAGGTGGATTAGTTTCTTTCCAGGATTTAAGGACCCTCTGGACACAATGCCTTTGGAACTGAAATGAGAATGCTGACAAGGAGCCTGTTTGCAGCCCTTCTTTCAAATTTAAACAGGCCTTGCTGAGAATGGAAATTTAGGGAAATCTTGTCATAGGAAGCCTGTTTTAAACGTGAATTTTACCACCTCCAGGCCAGGCAAATGTGTAATAAAAACACATTCTCATTTGTAAAAGGCTTGAATGGAAGACACTATAGTCAGCGGAGACTAGGGAAAGTTATGCTTCAGGTTTTGATTCATTGAGTGAACAATTAGGCCCCACTCAATCAATGAAAGATACATTTTCTTTAAAAAGTGTTACTTTGTAGTAGTCCTCACAGTAACCAGAGGAGGTAGGTTAGTATGATTAGTCCTATTTTCTGGTGGGGTATGAGGCACAGAAGATTTAAAATATTTGCCCCCACCCATGTCATAAACCAAAATCAAAGCCAGGTTAAAGGAGAGGCATTTCTGAGACTGAACTTGAGGCCTGATCAATATGTTTGTCCAAATGTATCCTTACTTATTTTATAGTCCACTTGAAAGCTTCTAGGGTCCCTTCTGTGGGGGCGGGGGTACTACTTAAGAATGTGATCAATAAAAATAACTGTAGCTCACTGGGAAAAGAGAAGTCCTGAGATGACCCAGGATCAGCATAGAGCCTGACTGTCTTCTAATGAATTCTGGTTCTCATTTCTGGCAACCTGTGGCTTGCAGTCAAAAGTAGCCAAGGAAAAAGGAAGTAAGAAATTTTGCTTCCTCGGAAAGGAGTAGATTGGGGCAGCAGGGACTCTGGTGCGCTTGCAAATGGACCCTGACAACTTGGCTTCTACTCCAGGCTCACCCCTTTCCTCTCCCTCCCACAGCTGCAGAATATAAAAGACTTGGAAAATTCTTATCTTGGCTATTGAGACAAAGGCCTATGTGAAGTGGATGCCTCACATGTCACTCTGCCTAATAACATCTAACAAATCACTTGTATAACCTAGTAGTCTCCATCAGGAGTGGCCCTTGGGGGACCTTTGGCAATATTTTTGCCACTTTTCCTTGTTATCACAAATTTAGGGGTTTCTGCTGGCATCTAGTGGGTGGAGGCAAGTTACTGCTGAATCTCCCTACAGGGCCCTGTACAATCCTTCCCTTTCTGCCTCCCAAATTAGAGCATTATCTCCAAATGTCAAAAGCTGAGAAACCCTGACACTATCCACAGGTGTTCAGCATTCCCATGTCTAATGACCCCAAGGATCTTATCCCCCTGTACCACCTCAACAACAACAAGTGTTTCTGGTTCCACTAGTACTTTCACCTATGAGCCATGTGCCCACTTGTGCTGCAAAATGCCTCCTCAGGGGACCAAGCCTTTCATGAACAATTAGAATTAAGGCTTAAATGCAAATAGCCCTGGGAGAAAATCACATTGATCCTGCATTCTGATCCTTTCCTGAGAGGACTGTGATAGATAGATAGTATGGGCACCACAAGGAGCAAACCTGGGCAACAAGAACAAGAAGAATTGGCCTGTCCTATTGCTCTGGGTGAGCCTCAATTTTTCCCAGGTTTTTTCTAGGCAAAATCTTTCCCTATGACCTTTTGATGGATCATAGGATACCTTAGGGCACTGTCTAAATGGCAGGTACACAGGACTGACAATGGAATCGAGAACTATGTACAGTTGTATAATGTCCAGGTTAGTTACTTTGTGGGCCAATATGACTGATGACCCAGTGATTCAAATTCCGCTTGGAATCATTTTCCAAACAGGATAGAGAGGAGGGAAAATAGGGCTCTGTGCAATGTTTTACCTTGCTTTGAATTAGGGGTTAAAATGTTACACAGTGGGATTTTATTGGATGACTTTTAAAGATATTAATTCTCAAAGGAAAGGCATAAATTTTGACAAAACTCACTAGCAAAGAAGAAATAGCAGAATTACATTTAGAGGCGTTATTTACAATGCAATGGAACTTGTCATTTCAAATTACTTTGAATTCCTCTTACCAAAACTGCTCAATCTACAAATTACACCTCAGCCACCCCAACATGTAACAGCACCGTGATACAATTTTTATGTACAAAAAGTGTTACCAAGTTTTGAAGTAAAGGGAATTTTTTGAGGTCACACCCAGCTATGCACAGGGGTTACTCCTGGCTCTGCACTCAGAATTACCCCTGGTGGTGCTCAGGGAACCATATGGGATGCTGGGACTCAAACCCAGGTTGGCTGTGTGCAAGGCAAACGCCCTACTCGCTGTGCTTTTGCTCCAGAGTCTAAAGTAAAAGTAATTTGATGGCCAGTGATACTCCCATGTTAACCCAAGGGCTTCTGGGATGGTGATAAAAGACCAAGAGAAGTTGAGTTCTTCGTTGTTGCTGATCCCTCAAAAATCTGTTTTGCTCAGACTTCCCTTCTCCCTTAGGTTGTCTTGTCCCTGAAGGCATTCTGTGCTAAAGATGGGAAGAAGTGGCAGTAGGGCATCCTGACAAGGTCCCTGGGATCAGTGGTATTACTTCTGGACTCCTCAGGAAGTTGAAAAACAAAACCTCACTTGCTCTCCATCCACAGTGATTCCCACAGATGGATAAGGCAGAGGACATGGTCTTGGTCATTTCTCTGAACTTCAGGTAATTCTCGTCTTAAGAGAATGGTCATTTCTCTAAACTTCAGGAAATTATCTTCTTAAAGAAACTGCCTAAAATTATGGGTTTTTCCCTTCTATTCTCACATCTCTCCTTACCAACGGTACTGGCTCTCCAGAGGGTGATTTCCAGCCCAGGATGACCTTGCCTGGTCCTCTTCAAACATGCAGAGCTGGGGCAGTGTGGGGTCTAGGTTTTGAGAATTTGGTAGCTGTCCAACCTTTCAAGACCCTGCTTGATCACCAGTAAACTTTAGGTGTCTGCCCTGCCGTCCCAGCTGAGCATACCCAGAGCTAAGGCAAAGGAGCCAGGCTTAACTCATGTGAAAGCAGAAAAGAGAGGAGACAGCTACCCACATACGACTGCGTGGGGGTGTGCACATCTAGGACAGGACAGGCCACCCCTCTGTAAGAAAGGTTCCCCTGGATACCATTTGGTGTGATTAAAAACAGAGGCCAAACCCTGACATGCTCTAAGCAGTTGCTGCCAAGATCTCAGCAACTTAAATAGAAACACCTAGCAGCTCCAGGAGCTGCCAGCAGCTGGTCTAGCTGGTCACATCTGTGCACACAGCTGGACAAGACCGCCTTGTGGGCCAAGAGCATGAGTTTGAGGTAGGATTGTCAGATCTGCTGAATGAGGGAAGGGCTGCACAGCCTTTACTGGTGACACAGCAAGTGCAGTATCTGCACTAACAGGTAAATCCGTGTAAACACAGTTGGTGTCAGTTTACAGACTAGGATTTTATTTAAAAAAAAAATCCAATCCAGCAAATAGACAAATTACTCCTCAACCTGAAAAATAGAAATGCTTGATAAAATATATTCTTAGAAAAAGGAGCAAGAAAGACTTACTACCAGGTGGAGATGGACGTGGCAGGCACTAAGGAAGAAGAGAGTGGAGGAAGAGTGGCAAACAACTCTGGGGACCAGGGCGGGTTCCAGGCTCAGAACTACCAGTGAAGAAATGGAAATGACTCAACACAGCTCTCAAGGGATAAGGTTAATGTTTCCAGCCAGGAGAGGAGAACCCTCTCCTCATCGCCATGCCCTGTCACTCAGGCACCCAGACACACACTGGAAAGCTGGAGAACAGAGAATGCCATATTGCTATCCATTTTGTGCCTTTCTCTAAGTTTGTGCCCTCCATACCTTGGCAGAACCACCTCTTCTTTGTGGGCATTTCTTGCTTTTATGCCACTAGGAAAGTATACCTACTCCAGGAAGTTTCCCTAGGGCTTCCAGTCTTCTGTGTATATGAGTCTGCAAGTAGACAGCTGCAGAATGATTTAAGTTTGCAGTTAACCTCTTGGGGACCAGTTGCAGAAAACTGTTTCCACCAAGTGAAAACTAGTCACATGGTCATTAAATTTCTAGTGCTTTTTGGGGCCTGAGAGAGCTCCAGGGGTTAAGTATGAATTTTGTATGTAAGAGCCCCCTGGCATCTCTGGCATCTCATGATATCTCAAGCATAGCTGGGAGTGGCCACCAAGCATAGAACTAACTAGGAATAATCCCAGAGTAGCCCCAAACAAATAAAAAGCCAAATTTCAGCATGTTGTGTTTAAGAACTGAATGAATTTTTATGTATGTATATAAGTGTGGAGAGAGAGAGAGAGAGAGAGAGAGAGAGAGAAGAGGTGAGAGAAATAATTCTAACCATGATTAAAGAAGGACCCCTGGAAAAAATTCTAAAAGGGGCAGCAGAGGCAAAGATCAAGAATCATGATTAATATCGTTTTCTATACTTCATGTCTTAGATCTGCATAAGACATAATACACTGAAGGCTCCAGGACCTCAAAACTAAATGTTGTCTTCCTGATAAAGATAGGAACACACAACCTGAGAAGGAGTGGCATCCCCAGCCACGGGGTGACACAGGGGACATGGGATTCCAAAGACTCTCTCTGCCTCCTATTCTCAGGATGCAAGTCTCTGGGTCTGTCTTCCTCTCCTCTCCTCCCAGAAACCAGACTTTGTAGATAGATGACAGGAAATGTAATTATAAATACTGATTGCTTTTTCACTCCAAGAAAAGTCCCTTTTTGTATTTGTAGCTTCCAGGTGGATCAAAGGGGAGACACGCACCCATGTTCACTCTTAAGAGTCATCTCCACAAACCCAAGCTGCAGACCCTGTCTCCACACCCTCCCCACCCCACCCTCCTCCACACACACAGACAAGAAACATGTCTCAGATACTCCGTGGATGCTGGGTTGCACCCTTGATTGGGTTCAGCCCTCTTGAGTTGTTTGACTGCAGCAAGGGATGGCAGGGCTGAAGCTGGGAGGCTAGTTACCAGAGAGTTTTGGCCTCCCCAGACTTGTTGGCACATCCAATCCTGTGTGCAGGGTTACCTAGAAAAGAAGCCAGGATCAGTGAGGGTAGGACAGTAGCCACACAGACCCCAAACACTGAGTCCTGGGGTTACAAGTGATGCACTGCTTGTTGGGGTGAAGGTGCTCTTGCATTGTGGAGTCTGCTTTTATCTTATTATGCAGGATCACTAATGAGTAGTCCATAAGTTTGTCCCTGATGTTTGCTCCTACTTCCTCCTAGTAAGTGCAACATAGTTGCCAGCCTTATCTACCTGGCCTGAACACCAGAATAAAAGCGGGCAAGGCTGACACAGTTGCAGTAACTAAACTTCTCAGGGCTATATAGTAGACCCTGGACCAAGACAGGTTTGAACTGCATGGACCCTCTCACATATACAGATATTTTTTCAATGACTATGTTGGAAAAATTTAGAACTTATGTCAACTTGAAAGAAACTTATTAAGGAAGCATGTAGTCTACAAATATTGAACAATTTAAGTAAAAGTTTTGTCACAAATGCAAAGAATATATGGAGATAAAAGTCTGTTGTATAATTCACTATCATAAAACATACAAATATTCTATTATAAAAAGTATCTATTATGTTGCATCAAAATGTAGTGGACAGATACAGATGGTACCATTTACAGTCAAGAATATGTAAACAAACATTATCTCTGAGGCTTCAAGCAACACTTGACTTAATTAGTAGTTATATTTGGGAGTTACATATTAGGAATTTTGCCTGCCCAAGGAGATCAATACACACCCTGAATTGCTCAAATCATGTATTTGTTTCTGCTTCCTTTTTTTTTATTAGTGAAACACCATGAGGTACAGTTATAGACTTATAAATTTTTGTGCTTGGGTTTCAGTTACACAATGATCAAGTACCCATCCCTCCACCAGTGCCCATCCTCCACCACCACGGGTCCCAGCATTCCCCCCACCCCCGATCCCCTCCCCGTCCCACCCTGCCTCTGTGGCAGGGCAATCCCCCTTGTTCTCTCTCTCTTCTTTTGGGTACTGTGTTTTGCAAGAGAGGCATTGAGTGGCAATCATGTTTGGTCTATAGACTACTTTTAGCATGCTTCTCCCACCAAAAAGATTAGAAGGGACAGTCTGCTTCCTTTTTGGAGCCCACTTTCCTTTCCTACCTCTGTTCTGTTTACTCTGGACTAACAAACAGCCCTTGCACCCACAGCCCTTTTGTGAGTAACTAGAAGCAGGAATCAGCGAGAGATTCAGTTACAGTAAGAATTCTCTTATTATTCTGTTACAGTGGGCTTGCAGTTGACCTCTTTAAGCTCAGTTTGACCAAGTGCCCTTTGGGGTTCCTGAGATCAGACTGCTAGAGGGGTGAGAGGTACCTGCACATTTCGGTTGAGGCTGAGAGCTGGCATGAAGACCCCGTCCACGTGGCTGAAGGCTGTTGGGCCCTGCTGCTGCCCATTGATGAAGAAGGTCAGTGTGTGCTTATTCAGGTCCAGTAGCACACCCACAGTTGCCCCCTTGCACACTCCACCTTCTGTCCTAGAAGAAAAGCACCAAGAAGCCCTCTCAGCACCTTGGCATGGGATGGCTCAGGAGACTCACTTCAAGGTGCAGAAACAAAGCCTTCTCCTAAAAACAAAGCCCCCTCCCCATCCCCTTACCTCTGGGGCAGTTCTGGGAGCTGCTTTTTGAGGTCATTTAGTCTTCTTGATATGTTAAGGAGTCACCCAGGGAGACCTCACACTTTGTATAAGATTCGCTATACTAGAGGAATTGGTTATTCAATACCTCCTTTCCTGATGGCACCTGAAATTTGGACACTCCTGAGAAAAGCATGGGAGCAAATGTCTGGGGGCCCTTCCTAGTCAATCGAAGCAGGTGGTTCAAAGCCCACATCCTACAATACAGAGCTGCTTGAACCTGGGATTTCTGCTGGCCACCAGGGCAACCCTGGTGATACTTGGGAGTCATGTAATGCCAGGGCAAATAGGTAAGTGTCCCTGACCACTGAGTGGTCTCCCCAGGACAGGGAACTCAGTGTTTGATGAGCAGATTACTCATTTGATGAGAAGTGTATGTAAGGGAAGATTCCTTGAGCTGCCAAGGACAGGAACCAACTTAGTATCTTTAATTTTAGCCTAGTGATGATCTTTCTACTGTCAAAGAGGCTAGTCTTTGCCCTTCAGGGAGTTTAAAAGGCCTAATCTCTACTCAGATTACACTATCTCAAGGTCTATTGAAAAGGAGTGCAGGCTGTGGGATGGAGACTGAATCTGAACTCTGAAATCAAGTCCCCTGTCTGAGTTCCTGAGTTCATGACTTCTAGCATTGAAGCTTTGAGCAAGTAAATTGGGAATACCTCAGTAAATACTGGGCAGAGACCCCAGCCATCAGTCATCAGTCCATCATACTCTTCCTCCCCTTAGCTGATAACTGGGGGTCATAGCTTGTCATCATCTCTGCTGGGCAGTGCTGGTTAAGACAACATTTTTTTTATTTTTATGAACTATTCCGCTGGCAGTTGGTTGTGAGACTGGGAGCACAGGTAAGTGATGAGGAAGATTTGATGCACCAATCAGAAGAGTGTTTCTTAGGAGGTGAGGATTTGGGGGCCTCAAGGCAGGATTCCACAAGTGGAAGATGGGAAGTAAACTGGGGTATTGGTCCATATTTTGACAGTGACCACTAGGTGACAGTAGTGTGATGAGTGAGCAGGAATGTGAGCTTTGAGTGAGGCTTCAAGTCTGACCTCTGTCAAGGTCAGAGCTGGGGGTCACACACAGAGCAGGAGAGATCCTTGCAGTGCAACTAATTAGTACTATGACTTTGACCACAGTACAACTCCTTCATCCTAATCTTTAGAGTGGCAATAACAGCAATACCAACTAAATGGCATCAAACAAATGAGGTGCTTCCTGCAGTCACTGAATACAGTCACAAAATAAACACTCAAGCCTTCTGTTTCACTCCTTCAGCAGACAGTGTATCTGGGTGCTGGTTTTCTGCAGGAGAAATGACGCTGGGGAGTGTAGACTCAGTTTACTTTTCTTTATGGTTTCGGGGTTATATCTGGTTGTGTTCAAAGCTTACTTCGTGTTCAAAGATCACTCGTGGCAGGGCTCAGGAGACCATATGGGGTGCTAAGGTTCCAACCCACCCATGTCAGCTTTATGCAAGGCAAGTGCCTTACCTGCTGTGTTATCTTTCTACCCATAGACTCCACTTCTTTGTTGTCTCTGAGCACAGGTTGGAGTATCCAGCACATAGAACCAGATTTGTCTAGCACCTGGTAACCCTGAGGCATCTGTCCAGCCTACTGGGCCAGGTAAATCTGCAGGACTTGGTGAGCACGTTGGGTCTGCCAACACCTAAAACATGGTGGGTCAGCCGATCTGGTCAGAGTGCAAGGCTTAGCTAGAATATAGGGCTAGGCGGAGAGTTCAAAGGGACAGAGATACCTTCCCCTCTCTCCTGCCCCTCTAACCTGTCTTTGGATATAGGGGACAATACCAGTAGGAAGGCAGTGGAGAGGGCACTGAGATTTACTTTATGCTCTCCTGGGAACTGTGGGCAAGTCCCTGCCCCAACCAAGACTTTGGTGCTATCTGGGGATGAACTTTGAGCACTGAGAGCCACCAGGGCCAACTTTGCTTGGAGCTGGGGCCCTGCATGGCCAGCACCTTAGGACTCCTGGCCTATTCTCCTGATAGACCTGGAAGGAGACCCCACCGAGAGACTTTGCCTCCTAGTGACAACAACTGCATTTCTGGGTTTCTTTAAAGGCCAGTACTGCCTCAAGGATTTTCCACACTCCCTTGGTCCTCTTCCTTCTGCCCAGGATGAACATAGAACCCTCATGAGGAGGAAGAAGAGGAGGGAAAAGAGGAGGTTGAGGAGGAGGAGGAAGAAGAACATGAAGAAAAAGACTCCTTCTCACAGTGATTCAATAAAATTTTTTTTAAAAAGCAGAAGTGTTGAAATCTCAAAAAAAAGAAGAAAAAGACCCTTAACTTATTTTAAGCGTCCCATCTTTATTGTGGCTAAGGAGAGATAACAAGGAACACCAAGTCCTTGGAGAAACCTAAATATGACGCACACCTTTCTCAGTGCAGCCTCAGAAGACCAGCCTCCCCAGGACCTGAATCCATCCTGGTCAGGGACCACCTTGGGACAAAACAGCTCTGGTGGCCTTTGACAGAGCCATCAGAAGTGACCGTTCCAACATTTCCTGTTCCCAGACTTGCTTGAAGTCAGAGAAGGTAGAGCAGTGGAAAGGGCCATGCCAGGTAAGTGACCAACTAAGGCAATTTCACCTGCTTCTTCTGTAGGTACCAACTATAGTGGAAAGGAAAAGCTGTTCCTTAAATGCCCCACATGATCCAATACAAAGCGTACAGAGAGCAGAGAAAAGCCAGAAGGAGGAGTGCAGCAGAGGATTCCACTGTGGCTTGTTAAGTAATCTGAAACCTATTTTCTCTAGTAAGTGGAAAATATCATTTGTTACTCTAGCCTCTATTGTATACTCTCATTTTTGCTGCAGTCAAAGGACAGACTTCTACCAGGTCACTTCTCTCTGAGGACTGGGGCTGTGGGATGTGACTCAACTGGTAGAGCACGTGGCTTTCACATGCAGAGTCTTGATCTATCCCCAGAACTTTCTTGCTTCTGAGAAATATTGGGTGGCACCCTGGTGGCCCCTGAGTACTCCTTGGAGTGATTCCCAAGTCTTTTTACATCCCACCCTCCAACCTCGCTCCTGTAAAATAAATGCCGGTATCTGAAAAATACCTTCCTCCACTTTCCTGAATTTTGGAATAGCAAAAGGAACTCTATTACCACATCTCCAGCTCCCCTCCCAGTGTTTGAAGTGACCAGGAAGGGGCCCACGGCGCACCTGTTGGTGTGGGAGTTGCAGTGCATGAACCAGCTGCGGTTGTTGTCCACATACATGGCCCAGGCCTTGTCATCCTTGCCCAGCATCATGTCCTTGACTACGCTGGCTCTGGCCACCCCAAAGGCAGGGTCTGGGTGGTTGTCATACCGGTCCACGTGCAACTCCCAGTAATGCACGCCCTTTGAGAACGCAGCTGTGCCAAGCACAACCCGGTCATCATAGCTGCTGCATGTGGCTGTCTGGTTGTCATTGGATAAAATGATGTCCCGGTGCCCAGAGTTGGGGTCAAATGTGAACCAGGCCACTATAAAGGAGTGATGAGGAGAAAGATCAGAGGATGGAACTTACCAACTGCCTCTAATCAGCATAGTGACACAGATTCACATATATCAGAAAGTGGGGCATGTTTTTACAAGCATACAGATGCACACACAACTCCCTATTGTCTTCATTCCGTTCTTTATCCAATTCCAACTTTGAAAAGGAAGACATACATGCAGGCCTCTAAGCCCCAAGCTGAAATGCCTTTTGTGTAGTCCTGGTTTGTCAAACCCTGCCAGAATTTGTTCACTAACGTGAGTAACGGATAAAGTTTGTATACACACCCAACACTGTGGGTGGAAAACTTGATACCCAGGGACGGGAGGCAGTATAACCAAACCACAAAGTTCAATTCTCCCTTTTCACATTCCATTGTTGGGGCACCCTTTTTTTCTGCTGAAGTCCTTTAAGAACTTTCCTCAGAGAAAATAATGGTGTGTAAGGCCCTGACTCTAAAATGATGGCCACCGTATGCAGAGAAAGAATTCTTGGCCAGAATTCTTTAGGGCAGAAAGCAAGGAAATGAAATGTAAAAGCCTATAAAACTAGGTTTATAAAATGACTCTGATAGACATTTCTTTCTTAGGGCAATGATAAACTGGGATAAATGTTGACAAAGAAGCACAGGATAGAGCTGGACATGAGCTAAACACATGGTTTGTATGCAGGAGCCTCAGGTTTGATCCCTAGTTTTACATGTTTTCTAAACATGCTAGGAATCATCCTTGAGCATTGAACAAGGAATAGAACTAATGAGTGTGGAGAGAACAAGAGTGAAAGAGAGAGGCCAAGAAAGAGAGGTGAGAGGATTGGGAAGTTGAATTTTTGGGCTACACCTAGTGGTTCTTGAGGTCTACTCCTAGCCCTTGTTCAGGAGAATTATGTGGTGCTAGGAATCAAAGCCCAGCCTCCAGCATGTAAAACATGCAGTCCATCTCATTGAGCAATCTCTCCAGTCTCATGCAATGAAAAAATTGTTCTTGGTCTATAGGGACAAAATAGAAGTTTGCCAATGAGTATATGGATAAGTGTGTTTCATCACTTATCTCCAGAGAAGTACAATTTAAAATGGCAGTGAGATATCATCTCACATCATAAAATTGGTAAAAATAAAGTAGAAATAACCAGTATTGGTGGGAGATATGGTGAAAAAGAAACTCTCATCCACTATTTGTGGGAAGAGAGCCTGGTTTAGCCTCTATGGAAAACAGTATCAAGACTACTTAAAAATGTTTTAAAAATTGAGTTTCCATATGACTCAGAAATTTCACTTCTTGACATCTACCACAAGTGCCTAAAAACTTTTTGAAAGATATTTTTCACTGTCATGTTGATTGAAATGCTGCTCATAATAGTAAAGATCTGCAAGTAATCCAAGTACCCAAGAACAAATGAGTGGATGGAATCCTGATCAGATATAAGAAAAGATGAAATTCTGTATATCCTTGCTATGTGAACTAAATTGGAGAATGTCTTGCTGAATGTAGTGATTGAAGAAGAGAAGAACCAATACTGAATGATCTTTCACATATATGAAGTAGAAAGAAACACAGGAAGGAAATAAACAATGATGTTAGAGTCAGCCTATAGAACTGTTTGCGAAAGGGTAGGGGACTCAGAGACAGTAGTGGAAGGCACTGATACTGGTGGTGGTTGTGGTGTAGCAACACAATATACCTGAAAATTACTATTAACCTATAGGGTGTTGAGCCCGGAGCCCCATTTTCCTCCCCCACAAAGCTCAATCACCATGTGGGAATGTGTTTTTTCCTCTGAGACACCCCAAGGCTCACCGTCAGATGTCTGCAGGACAACAGTTTTACTATAGGGTCCAACCCCAGATGAGTTGAAAGCCTTGACCCTGGCATTGTAGGTGCTATTGAAATGCAGCCCATCGATGGTGCAGAGAGTCTCCTTGCCGACATACACTTCCTACAAGAAAACCAAGACTGCTCATTGGGCGTCTCTGTTCTGTGAAAACACTCTTCCCAGCTGGTTTCACCCATGCAAGACTAATACTTTGTCACAGAGCTATATGCCCACAAAAATATGTTTTTAACAGAAGGTCTTTGAACATAATGAAAATGAACAGATAGAGGAAGACCATGACATTTGTGAAATGAGATAATTTATATACATGTATTTACCTAACTGGAAGGTGCTATATTCATTTTAGATATTATTTGGCTGGAGTGATAGCACAGCGGGTAGGCCATTTGCCTTGCACACTGCCAACTGGGTTTGATCCCCAGCATCCCATATGGTCCCCCTAGCACTGCCAGGAGTAATTCCTGAGTGCAGAGACAGGAATATCCCCTGTACATCGCCGGGTGTGACCAGAAAAGCAAAAATAAATAAATAAAATCAAACTCAATTATAAATAATTTTGTAAATCATCACAAAGCCTTAATAAAAATATATAAAAGAAATATAGGGCTTATTATTATTGTGATTTATGATGTAATTTATCAAGTGTCTTCTACATGCAGCTGTCCTGGCCAGGTAAAATAATGAACCAGGAAGGCAAGTTTCTGATAGAATGTTGAGGGTTGGGGAGCTGTGACACTCCTGAAGCCTACCTCAGCTTCAGATCTGTAAGTCTGTCCAAGACAATCGCCCTGAATTCCACTGGTGTCGCCACCTCTGCTTTTCCAGACTGCCTAGCCCCAGTCCTCTGCAGAAAAATCCCATCTCCCCTGAGCACAGACCCACCAGCAGTCTGTCCTTAAGCTCTATGACCTCTCTAGGAATGAAAGTCACCTCCATAAACTGCACTAGGATCATCCCCAAAATAAGCTGCAGGGTCTTACCCGGAACTGCCCCCCATCGCCGTCATCAAGCTCCAGGATGTAGCCGTCCACAGGGCTGTGAGTGAAAGGTGGCATCCTCCAGGCCAGCGTGACACTGTTATTCCGTGTACAGCACTTCTCCAGCTGCAGCAAGGGGCCTGGCGGCACTGTGACAGGGACCCAATGGTTTAGTCCACCCTGTGTAGGATGCCAGGATGTCTGCATAGTCCTCTGCCCCATCCCAGAAGCCTCTAGCCCCCTTAAGTAAAGGGGCTCTTTATCCCCATAATGGCCATCCATAGGTGACGCACAGCCTCAGTTTGGGAGTCTCATAGTCAAGGTGGCTGTGGGGAGGGCAAACATAGAGAACTAAGAATTACTCCGCCTGACAGGATGTGTGGAATCTGGAGGATGACCTGGCACATACTTTCTCCTCCTAGCCTATAGCCCTAATAAAGGGCTGTCTTCTTCCCACTGAAAACCACTGGTGTGAACTCTCAGATCTGGGCAGAGTTCCAGTGAAATTCTAAGAACAATGTTCCACCCTTTGACCTCCTAGCCACATGTTGTTTGGGCCCAGCATGCAACCTACGCCTGAGGTCGGAAAGGTGTGGATGGTGGGGTGGGCAAAATGCAGAGACACACACTTAAACCTATGATTGGAAACACTTAAAGGTCCAAGGAACCACGCCCAGGAAAGAAAGGTAATCTTACAGTACCAGACAGTCAGCCCATGTAATCAGGGATATAAGTAAAACGTATCATAAATTCTTCAAAGTGAGATGAGGTGAATATTTTCATTTTCTAGAAGTGTTCAGACTCAAGTGGTTTTAGAAGTACACACTGACAGTTTTTGAGGGGGAAGAGTTCTCAAGCATTCTCTGGGAAACTGGGGGTCATTCTTGGTGATATTCCACCAACCAGGTTTGGGAGGCTTTCAGGGCTACACCTGGCAATGATGGGTGGCAAGTGGAGTTAAGCATCCCTGACCCCTCTGTTACTTCTCTGGATCTACTGACATTGGCAGGGGGCTGGACTATACCAGGTAGTACTCAGAAGATACTATTGGCTCTGCCCTTTGAGCTTACTCCTGGTGGTGCTTAAGGATCATATTGCTCAGGGCACTGATGTCAGCCATACTGAAGACTTAATCTCGTGAACTATCTCTTTGGCCCCACATCCTAACATTTTTTAAAGGGAAAATTAAGACTCTGGTCTGATAGCACTGTTCACTGTCCTTAGCACTGTCCTCCAGTTGTTCACCTATTTGTTCACGCGGGCACCAGTAACGTCTCCATTATGAGACTTGTTGTTACTGTTTTTGGTATATCGAATACACCACAGGGAGCTTGCCAGGCTCTGCCGTGTGGGCAGGATACTCTTGGTAGCTTGCTGGGCTCTCCAAGAGGGACGGAGGAATTGAACCCGGGTCTGCCGCGTGCAAGACAAACACCCTACCCGCTGTGCTATTGCTCCAGTCTGGTAAAAACAATAAATACTATTTGGTTGACAGATGAGCTGGATGCAGCTCCTGCCTTGATCAGGATGGACTGCATCTTTAAAGAGGCTATAGATATCCCCTCTGCTGACTCTGCTGTTTGCTCTCCAACTTCCACTATAAATTTCACTGAGCATCCAGTTTAGAGCACCTGGAGCAGCACCTGGAGTGCTCCTGCCTCTCCCTCAGTAGTCTCACTTTCCTGAGCTGCCCCTGCCTTTCACAGTAGCAGCTTCCCCACCTTCACCTAATTTCCTGCTCGCCTACATCTCAAGTCACTCACACTTAGGACAGGTGGCACTGGCAAACCTCACAGGTGCAAGGTGAGTGTGAGAGTGAATCTGGAGATGTGCAAAAAACTTGTATTTTCTTGAGTCTAAAATTAGTCACAGTTTTTGCAGCTAAGTATTTTATTGAATTTTCTAGGTATGGTACTCAATCCTTTGATACTTAAAAAAAAAAGCAACCCAGATTTTTTGTCTCTACTGAATATGCCCTTTTGAGAGGCAGCCTTTGGAACCAAGCTCAGGGTCTGACCATCACTTGGCTCTTTTTGTAACCTGGGACAAGTCACGCAACCTTGTTCACCCAAGGTTCCATGAATTTAGCTCTTCCCACCCTTCAACTTTCACTGTTTTTACCTCTGACCCTCTATTGCCAACACTTTGCTCCCTGGAAGGTTGTTTTCTGTGATTGTACCTCTCTCCTCCCACCTCAAAATACCCACTGGAAAACTATGGTTCCCTCTTTCCTGAAAACCATAGCACCTTATCACTCTCAAACACAGCATTGCAGAGTTCTTAGTGTATTGTCTAGAATATCAGCTTGATCTGGTGAAGGAGTTTGTAACTTGCTCAACACTGTATCTTGAGCACTTATGAGGCAGACACTCAGTAAGGCTCTGAATGGAGAAAGGATCCTCTTTTACAAATGGGACAGTTCAAGCTCAGACTGGAGTTTTACCCACCCAGCTTATACAGCTAAAGGGTAGCTTTGTGAGCTGGGACTTGAATCCACAACTGTGGTGGCAGCATCTCCCCTCCATCCTCTGTCCACCAAGTCTGCCAAGACTTCCAAAGATCCTAAGCTGCCATCTCAGAATAATGACTCTTCAGAAAGAAGCATAGACTGAATTGGGCCAACCACGGCTCACCCCTACATTTCATCTGAATGAAGTCCAGCTGGTGGATTGCCTGAAGCAATGGCTCACTGTCCAAGGTCAGGTCAAACTCTGCAGATACTTTGGGCTCCAGGGCACCTTTGACCCACTGCTCCTGAGACACCTGGACACGCTTGATCAGAGCATCGGAGATCTTAAAGGGAAACACAGAGTTTAGGGATTCAACTTACCAAGAAAAAAATTCTGCAAGGAATGGTGAGGATGAGTAAAGGAGGTTGTGAATGGAAAAGGACCAGATGGGGAAGGACAATGCTAAGTGCCAGCTCTCAAGTCCTGTGAAATGATCACTGCTAGTATGACTACACACACAAAAAAAGTACAGTCTATTGTTTACATCGTATTTTTAAAAGTGTAATTATAGTGAAAGTAAAGAAGCACTTGATGTCTAAAGAAACAAGGTCAAGACTTTTTGTGAAGCTTTAAAAGTATACAACAGCATTCTTCGTTATACCTCTTTGGCACTTTGTAAATTGAAGCACATTAACAGTTTGTCCCAGGATTTGAATAAAGCATTTTCTATATCCCTGAAATGAATATATATTTTCTATAGAAAATATTCACATCCACACTCGTTTCCTTTGATTTGTTTTTCAGTTTCTGCTCCAAACCTTTATTGCATAACCCACAGCTCTGTTTCCTGTTGGGAAGTCCTGCTCGTTCAGACATTTGCACTTATATAAGAATGATGATTCTAGGTGCCCTTCTTGGGGACCAAGAGAATTCAGAGTTTCCCTACAGATGGAGAACTGAGCACCCATCTGTTCCTGAAGTATGCTTGTGACATTCAATCAGCCTGGCCTCATGGCAGGACTCTCACTGATCCTGCAGGCATAAGTCACCTTCCCAGGCCTACAGGACTCTGCGTACTGGGTAATGGGTCACATGGACTTGGCTAACTCCCTTTTCCCCTTTCCAACTTGTTGACAAACACTGTCCTTTCCTTTTGGTTGGGGAATGGTAGAATTTAGGTCCCTGGAAGTCAAAACATAAAGACACAGGATTTGTGTCTTAGAGATTATGCTACTTGACTTTCTTTGATTATGCTATTTGACACAGACCAAGGTCTCAACTCCTGAAAGGCAGAGGTGAGATGAAAACCTCTGTCTTCTGCAATAACTAAGCAAAGGAGAATATACTCAACTTTAAGTGACTGAAAAAGATGTTCCTAAAGACATTGACTGATTTGGGAGAGTGACTGTAGAACTGGAGTAAGGAAGACAAGCCTGCCTCATGTCCTTGAGGAGCCTCTCACCTGTAGAAATCCAGAGGGATCGTTTTCCTTGATCACCTCCAGACAATACTCCATCAGTCCTGTTGACTGGCGCAGCTTCAATGTGCAGTGATTGATCTGGTCCCAAACCATCTGTGGTTAAAAAAGAAAATCCTCAGTAATCATCTCATTAGAAAAAAAAAACAGCCAAACTGCATGGTCAGAAAAATAACATGGAGAAATTTCTGGAAGAGACAGCACTGGTGTTGACTGTCTTGTACTCTCTCCCCTGGATGCCCTGCTCCTGTGCTCCATGTGTGATCAACATTGTAAATCAAAAGGGTCATTATCCAACAGGGAGGGTCTCTGTACCCAACAGAGCAAACTTCCCTCACTCTGGAGAGAAAAATGGAGGAAGTGCATAACCAGGAATTCCTTTTGACTGGTACACAAGTTTCTTGTCTCCCTCCCACTTGGCAGATCATGGATAAACTGCTTTGCTTTTGTGAATTAGAGATTATTCCCAGCATTCATTCCTTCTTTTCTTGAGAGTAGTATTTTCTGATTCAGTAGGGAATATTTATGAAATAGATTTTGTCACCTGAACAATGAATCAGTCTTTGTCAGTGTGGTGTGTTCATAGAGGCCTTGGATGCACCTAATGTCAAATGAGGGAAAATGCCTCTTATCTGTGATGAGTGCTGATAATTTTATTATCCCTTAGAAATAAAATTGGGTGGATGAAATATCAGAGAGAGCCTGAAAAAGGCAGAACTGGGGACCTGAACAGAGCCAAGTTTATCACATTGGTGATAACATTGGTGACTCCAGGTCTGTAAAGTGAGAACAAACATCTTTTAGATGAAAAAATGGTAGTGTGTGCAGACTTTAAAACAGCAAGAATCAGGATGTCTTCTGCTTTGGAGAGAGAACATGGATTTTTATGGACTTCAGAGGTGGTCACCTGAGTGTAAGTAGGTCTAGAACAGCTTGGTCATTTCTTCCTTTGTCTCATTCATTCACTTCTTTGTCTAATATTGACCCCATGCCTACTGTGTGCTCCACCTCACTCTAAGAACAGAGACAGAGATGGCGGTTAAACCCATCAATCACCAGAGTAACTACCTTCAGCTTGTGTTCCCTCTCTTTAGTAACCTTGGTAAGCAGCTTGGCTTTCTGTCGAGTTAAAGCATCCACCAGTGCGTCACACTGAGCCACCAAGCAGGCTTCATAGTCTAGTCCATTTTCCTGGGGGAAGCAAAAAGCATTATGGAGAAGACATGCTAAAAGCTGATGAGTGTTTAAGACAAAGACAGTTCACAGAAGCTCAGCATAGATTTAGATATAAGTTTATTAAGCTGGAAACTGGTAAACATGAGCTAGGGGAGGGGCACCATGAACCTCAAGGCAACTATAGTCATTGAAACCTTGTTCAATTAAATATTTAAAGATCTTGGAAGTGCTCATGAGAAGCGGTTAGGAACATAGGCCCATTTCAAGTTGTGAACAGCAAAATTCCATCCATATTGTATGAATGTTTGTGTCTAAAGTAATGGAAAATATGTTAAGATGGTGATTTGATTCCTTAAGAAAGTAGCAGAGAAATATGAGTGAACTTTTTCTTAGTTTTTTCTGTTATTCTTTACTTACTAATATTTCTGTAACACAAACTTTTGCTTTTATCAGAAAATAGTCTTTTAAAAGACAACAGTACTCAGGGCTGTAGCAATAGCTCAACAGGTAGGGCATTTGCCTTGCACATGGCTGACCCGGGTTCAAATTCCAGCATCCCATATGGTCCCCTGAGCATTGCCAGGTGTGACCCGAAAAGAAAAAAAACAATAAAAGAACAGTGCTCTTGTGGCTCTTGTGGTAGTGTTTGTCTTTCTCAGCATTAAGAGAGATTGCTTCTAAGTTAAGGACTCAGAATAAGGATCAGCATGGATTCAAACTTCAACCAGAGGCTGAACTGTGTCTCCTCCAAATTTTTGCTTTCAAATCCTGATCCCCAGTACCTCAGCATGTGGTTGTATTTGGAGAAAAGACTGTTCAAGAGGTAATTCAGATTAAATAGAATGATTGAGATAGGTCCCAGTCCAATATCACTTGCAACTTTAAAGATAAGAACACAAACATACAATATGAAGACCATGTAAGCACGTAGATTGAAGACAGCATGAATGAGAGAGCAAGCTACGGAGAAGGGTCTCAAAAGAAAATAACACAGCTGGCCCCTTGATCGTGGACTTCCAACCTCCAGAACTGCAAGAAAATTAATTTCTGTAATTTAACCACCTCACCTGTGGTAATTGGTTATATCTGCTCCAGTGTCTGAGACATAAGAAATGTAAATTTAAAATGCTTCGTGGCTGAGTTATACACTTAAACTTTCTGGAAAGGACGTTTTTACTAGACAGATCAAGAATTCAGAGCCCTCTGAAACTTTCTTCATGCATAATTTGGAATCCTTTAAGTCATCAACTGTTTATTTGTTCAACAGTTCCTCTGCAGGTGCACATTCATAGAGAGCAATGCTCTTCCCTATACACAGAGCTCCTTAAGATTAGTGTGTACCTTACTGATCTGGGTCGAGCTCCATATGTGGCAGAATTGGGGCATGGTGAAAACTTTTTTAGTAAACGATGCACTTCTACACTGATGCATTGATGATGTGGGTACAAAAGCACCATATGCCAATACCACATAGGATGATAGGGCCATGCAGGTGCTACATTATTTGTCCCCAGATTTCTTTCCATAATTCTCTCTGAGTTTATCCTTTCCCCTATCAGGTTTCACTTATGTCCATGGGTTGAGTGTGGTCCTTCCCCAACATACGAAACTGGACATTCTATTATTGCTCAACCCTGACCACATGTTTTCCATTTCTTCAAGATTTCTCTAGTATACTTCCTACCCTAGCTACCTCTCCAATTCTGGAGCTATACTTACCTGGATCTGCTGCAGAATGTTCTTAAGCTGAACAAGAAACTCCTTTGCTTCTTTTGCCTTATCAGATACTCCATTCAAGGCCTGAGATAATTGGGCCTAAAAAGATATCAAAGGTTGGAAAGGAGAATTAGGTGTTAAAGGAATAATTGCATTTTTTGTCATAAGGGTTTGTGTTTCTAAGAAGGATCTCAACTATAAGTTATCTTTATTTATAAAAAGACCTCTATTGAGTCATACATAGCCCTACAGTTGTCAATAATGAATCAATGATTTATTGTTACTTAACCTACATGTTTTCATCTGGATTTCAACATTTTCATGGAAGTAAGGAGTGTTCGTGAATTGGTTAAGACAGGATACCCTTGATACTTGCAGAATCCAGGACAAGAAGATAAACAGAGTTCTTGTTGTCTGGGTCTGAAACCTCTTTTCTTTCATGGCAGTTTTATCTCTCATCAATAGTACTCTTGGATGTTTCTATGCATGCCCCAAGAGATCAGAAGCCAGGCTTATATCACCTACTTCTTCACAGTTACCTGTGGCCTTGGGCCATGAAAATGGACTAATTGAATTATATTGCAAATCAAAAATGCCTAAAATGAGAGAGAAAGAGAGAGAAGTAGAACGAGAGAGAAAAGAGATGTGTCTCTCATAGAGACAAGTGGGGGTAGGGGTGATTTGGAGGGGTTGGAGGGAAACTGGGGACACTGGTGCTATAAAGTACACTGATGGAGGGATGGGTATTAGAACATTGTATGACTGAAACCCAATCATGAACAGCTTTGTAATGCTCTATCTCATGGTAATTCAATAATAATAATAATTTTTTAAAAAGTGTCTCTCTTAGAACACAGGGAATTGCCCTGCCACAGAGACGGGGGGATGGGGGGATGGGGGTGGGAGGGATATTATCCATGGTGGTGGAAAATGGGCACTGGTGGAGGGATGGGTATCTGATCATTGTATAATTGAAACCAAAGCACAAAAAATTGTAAATCTACAACTTTAAAAAAAATTAAATAAAATAAAGGTGAAAAAAAAAAGAAAAAAAAAAGTGTCTCTCTTAGAGGCCAACTGGGAGGAAGGATGCAAATGGATTTGAGTTGGGGGGAACATTGGTGAAGGGAATTGGACACTAAGGGAGGCATTGGCATTGAACCACTGTATGCCTGAAGCCAAATTCTGAATAACTTTCCAATTTCACAGACTAAAATTTATAAAAATAAAAAAATAAAATGGAGCCATGTCTTCGGGTCTAATATAAAATAAAAAAAGAAAGTGGGTTAATGGGCTATAGTTCTGGGAATCTATCACATCTTCCAGAACAGCAATGGAGATTATCCATGACTTCTACTCAAATTTCTTCAATAGCCATGTCCACTTGCCAACATACAAAATTCCACAGGATGGATATGTCGTTCCCAATGTTCTCCCTTCCAAAATCCTACACGCCATTTCGTCAGTAAAGAAACGAACAGCACCCGGCCCAGATAAGGTCAGACATGAACACCTGAAGAACGTGCCGTCAGTACTCATCAATACGCTGGCTCGGCTCTTCACATGCTACCTGTCTGAATGCAAGGTTCCGTCCCAATGGAAAACCAGCAGGACTATACTTCTGTACAAGAAGAGAGATATCCATGACATTGGCAACTATCGCCCGATCTGCCTATTGTCTGTCATCTACAAGTTGTTCACTCGAGTCATCCTAAATAGAATTGGCAGAACACTAGATGAAGGACAACCATGCGAGCAAGCCGGGTTCCGCAAAGGATTCAGCACCATCGACCATATCCACACAATAACCAAGCTCATTGAGGTTTCTCGGGAGTTCAAGATGCCACTCTGTCTAACGTTCATTGATTTAAAGAAGGCCTTTGATTCTGTTGAGACAGAAGCGGTCATTGAAGCCCTAGCCAATCAGGGCATTCAAGCCCCCAATACATCAAGATCCTCCGTGAGCTGTATTACAGATTCACTACCAGGATCTCACCATTCTACAAAGAAGTAATCATTGATGTCAAGAGAGGGGTTCGGCAGGGTGATACCATTTCACCGAAACTCTTCAGTGCCACCCTCAAGAACATCATGCGACGACTGGAATGGGAAGGAATGGGAGTGAAAAAAGATGGTTGGCAACTACACCATCTCCGCTTTGCTGATGACATTGTTTTAATAACACCAAACATTAGCCAAGCGGCACAAATGCTGGCCGACTTTGACCGTGAGTGTAGAAAGGTTGGACTACAGCTGAATCTTACGAAGACAATGTTTATGAGAAACAGCCTCGTTCCTGACGCCCCATTCGCTCTTAATGGAACGACCATCTCCAAATGCAACAGCTATGTGTACCTAGGTTGAGAAGTCAACATGACAAATGACCTGGCACCCGAGCTGCGCAGGAGGAAGAGAGCGGCTTGGAACGCTTTCAAGAGCGTCAAAGAAATAGATAAGAGGACGAAGAACCTCCGGCTCCGGGCACATCTCTTTGATTCCACTGTTCTTTCTGCATTAACATACACCTCAGAGACCTGGACCCTACGCAAACAGGATGAGAACGCTCTTTGGGTCTCCCAAAGAGGAATTGAAAGAGCTATACTTGGAGTCACTTTTCACTCAAATGAGAGAAAGAATCCAGAATTCTGACCTCCGTCAACGATCAAGAATCAGGGATGCTGTCTTGTTTGCCAAGGTGTCAAAAATCAGATGGGCTGGTCACGTAATGAGGTTTAAAGACCACCACTGGACTAGAGCTGTTACTGACTGGATTCCATGGGATGTCAAAAGACCACATAGCCACCCACCTGCCAGATGGTCTGAATTCTTCATCAAGATCATGAACAATTGGTTTGAGGCTCTTTGTGTTCCTAGAGCGAACAGACGCCATTGGGCTACACTAGCACGCAACAGGGACAAATGGAGATGTTACTGGCGCCCGCTCGAGCAAATCTCCGATTAACGGGAAGTCAAGTGATCAAGTAATCAAGTTCTAGGAATTATGACATTAACCTTAAGGGCATAGACTTCTGATGATAGCCCCATTAGCCCAGCAGATTTCTTACCCTACAAAGAGGGCTTTAGATAAGATGCAAAGGGACCTCAGTAGGTAAGACCCAAGAGTGAAACAAGTTAAAACTAAGTCCATGGCTTTAGTGCCAAAATGTATATATATACATGACTTTTGAACTTAAGAATCTGTACTTTCTAGGAAGAGCTGCGGAACTAGAGCCTGAAACTAAAGTGAAATAAAGTTCAGAGAATGCAAGGCTTTATCTTACAAGTAGACTATAGACCAAACATGATTGCCACTCAATGCCTCTTTTGCAAACCACAACACCCAAAAGGAGAGAGAGAACAAAAAGGTATGCCCTGCCACAGAGGCAGGGTGGGATGGGGCAGGGTGGGGGGAGGGATACTGGGATACGTGGTGGTGGAAAATGGGCACTGGTGGAGGGATGGGTATTTGATCATTGTATAATTGAAACCCAAGCACAAAAATTTGTAAGTCTACAACTGTACCTCATGGTGTCTCACTAATAAGGTAAAGGTAAAGGCGCTCCCGTTGATCGTTGATTTGCTCGAGCGGGCCCAGTAACGTCTCCATTGGAGACTTTGTTGTTACTGTGTCTGGCATATCGAATACTCTCGGTAGCTTGCCGGGCTCTCCGAGAGGGGCGGAGGAATGAACTCGGGTCGGCCATGTTGGCCACGTGTAAGGCGAACGCCCTACCGATACCACGTATATCGCCTTGATCTCATTGAGAGGGACTCTCAACTGAGCAAGGTGTCTCACTAATAAAAATTAAAAAAATAAATAAATACAAAAGGCTTTTTCTTACAAGCCTCAGCCAACTATAATGAGTATTTGACCTAGAAAATCTTGTGAGTTGAAATAATGTGGTACATAAAAACAGGTTCAAAGAGTATGGTTTATTTTAAAACATGAGTTTCTAGAGTTATAAAGTCGGTGGCAAAACTTATCCTACCAGTGTTTTATTTGATCTCTGAGACTTTTGGTAGCTAAAATTTCTAGAGATACTTAGCAAAGAATTATAACTGATCTCAGATGTCAGCCTGATAGTCTGAAGCCATAGCATTGTGCCTTGGTAAAAGTTTGACATAAAAATGGAGAATTTCATGGAAAATGTGGGAACTTTTACTGACTATCAATCAGCCTGTCCGGTATGTGAAATGCATGCTATTATTATGATAACTTTATTTCATGCAAAGCCTTGTCACCAGGTATCACCCTAGCCCTGATCTTCAGAGAGCTTTGTATACAAGTGTGAAATCCTTAATGTTTCATGATAACCTATTAGTGTTTTAATCTTTATATCTGTGTTTTCCTAGAAATCAGAATTCTGTGATGTCTCTTGGTTAATTTCTAATGTGAAGTGAACTTTTGCCCAGTGAATATATGTTGTAAGAACTTTAGTTGGGAGCATCTCTAAAGCCTTTTAAAATATCTATAGAACTGATATAATACTTTTGAAATGGTACTGTATACTAGTTTTGTCATGTTAAACGAGATGATTGGTAACTAGTTAGATGATTGGTAACTGGGAGATCATGTTGTACTAGGTTCAGTAAAATAAGAGTTTAAACTTGTGGGATGACGGTAAGGAATATAGATGTATGTCCTAAAGTCAGAAAGATAATGGGTGGAGATATCAGTGAGAAAAAAGAAAGAAATCCTGTTAAAGTGAAGTTGGTTTGTAAGTGAATGAAAGTTACAGAATGAATGTAAAGGAATGTGTAGAAGGTTTGAGGTTGTGCTTTAAGAAAAGATCAAATTGTTTTGTTAAAGTAAGATCGAAATAGATTTATGACCTCAACATCAGACCGGAATCCATAATGTTTATTGAAGACAAAGTCGGCAAAACTCTCCATGATATTGAAGCTAATGGTATCTTCAAAGATGTCACGCCACTGGCCGAGCAAGTGAAAACAGAGATAGACATGTCTTAATTTAAGACATCTTAAACTAAGAAGCTTCTGCACCTCAAAAGAAACAGTGACCAAAATACAAAAACAGCCTACAGAATGGGAAAGGATATTCACCAAATACACATCCGACAAGGAGTTGATATCAAGGA